AGTCGGCTGTGTGGCTGAGTCGATGCGAAAGTTTCGTAATGCCGGGATGCCGGGTTCGACCCTAGCTGCGGGCCATGCGCGTTGCGTTGGATTCGACAGTGGTATCATGAAAGCCGACCGTCCAGGGCAATGTTAAACTACTGGACGTAATTTGCCAAGAAAAACCACACAACAGCCAGTGTTGGTTCTGCAACGTCCTGTAAGGGATAAGCAACTAACCTTATGAAATACAGTACGTCTTCAAAAACAGGCTCTTCAATATTTGGTTCACATTTAATATCTCGTTCTGTGGATACCATAATATTTATGTGTGTGTATGTGTGTGTGTATATATATATATATATATATATATATATATATATATATATATATATATATATATAAATATTTATGTATGTATATATTATATACCATAATATTCTAAAATTATCCACAATGTTGTTCTGTGTAAGCTATAAAAAGCCTTCTCAAAGTTTAAGGAATTCACAAAAAGAGGTTGTTTTTTCAAGAAATTCGTCTAAAGTAACTCTCAGATAAGTATTTCTTCTTCTCTTTAGTTTTTCTTTAAAGATAAGAATTTGATCTAAGCAGCTTCTACCAGGTCGAAAACCTACTTGATCATCTCTCGGGATTTTGTCCGCTACTGCTTTAATTATGTCGACAATTATGTTACAAGTCTTGGCTATTAGCTATGTCAGAGTAATTTCTCTCCATTTGTTATAGTCGTAAGATTATCGTACTATAGAAGCTGAACAATTATTCATTTCTTCCAATGATTTGCGATTTTCCTCTACCCGTATTTTACTGAACAAATCTGTCACTCGGTTGATGGTTACATCTGCTACGTTGAGCATTTCTGCAGTAATATCATCACCGCCTGCTGCCTTATCGTCATTATCATCTTCATCACCATAAACCACTTCTGCCGTTAAGCGACGTGGGGCGGAATAATTTGCGATCAAGTGCACGTTGGCTGCCACTAGCTATTGTCATGCCGTGAAGGCGTAGATTGTCTTTAATGTTGTCAATCCATGTGTTCCGCGGTGGTCCTCTTGTAGTTGATCTACTCAGATGTAGTGCTTGTGATGGCATTTGATCTTGCTGCATTCTAACGAGATGGCTAAACCACTTGATCTGCTGTTTCCCGATGAATCTAGTACAAGGTGTCGTTCCCACAATTTGCCTGATAGTTTCATTATTTACTCGATCTCGTATGGTTAGGTTGGCTGCTTTTCTCAAGCACCTCATCTCGCTGCCTTATAGTTTGCTAAATATTTGATAGCCTCGACGAATCTCATGTCATTTATCTGTACAATATTTATTGGTAATATGGTAAATTTAGACTCTTCATCAAAATTCATTGGTTCGCGTAGACAAAGCCTATGAAAGTCTTTTAGGAGTGTTATAAAAGTCTTCCCGTTTGGGATGCAATTTTTTTTTTAAAGCCAAACACTGGCTTCTGTCGGGGGCCCTGAATATAGCCGGGGCATAGATATGGCCTTGCCATAGATATGGCCCAACAGCTGAAAGGGGTTTCGGGGACCTTTCCACAGGTGATCCTCATCCACATGGTGGTAGTTTGTGTCACCGGGTGTTTATCGCTTGTGTAATGTCCTGGTGGGGTACAACTACCTACCTACCTTTTTTTAGTGTTCCGCCCATTTTTTTTCTTTTGCTCAGTATCAGATGTAATAACTGTGCCATATTCGCTTTTAATGCTGCTACCCTATAGTTTAAAAATATTAGTTTACTCATTTAGTGTACATGAATTTTATATTTCCATTCTAATTAAGCCATCTGTGTTCTTAGTTCATCTAGTCTATCAACATATGACCTCTTATCTTGAATTGCGCAGCGGCTTTTTTATTTTTTCATTTTAAATATTTCTATTTATATTTTTTTATGTTTCATTTATGAGTCACTGTTGGAATAAAAAAAATTTTCGGAGCACTACAAAGAATTCCTACCGATCAAAATTGTTCAAACACTTAAAAACAGTTCTATCTGAACAGAACAAAGTCGTGACGCTAACACAAACACACACAAACAGACACACATACAGACATACACACATAGATATACAGACAGACAGTTATAGACAGTTACAGACAGTTACAGTGAGACGGAGGGAGGGACGGACAGACTGATAGACAGACATACAGTTACAGACGGACGGACGGACAGACAGACAGACAGACACGCAGGCAAACAGACAGACAGACGGACAGTTACAGACAGACTGTTACAGAGAGAAGAAGGGACGGACAGACAGACAGACATACAGTTACAGAAGGGCGGGCGGACGGACGGACGAACAGACGGACGGACGGAGGGACAGACAGACAGACAGACAGACAGACAGACAGACAGACAGACAGACAGACAGACAGACAGACAGACAGACAGACAGACGGACGGACAGACAGACAGACAGACAGACAATCAGACAGACAGACAGACAGACAGACAGACAGACAGACAGACAGACAGACAGACAGACAGACAGACAGACAGACAGACAGACAGACAGACCATCAGACAGACAGACAGACAGACAGACAGACAGACAGACAGACAGACAGACAGACAGACAGACAGACAGACAGACAGGCAGGCAGGCAGGCAGGCAGGCAGACAGACAGACATGGATAGACACAAATCTAGTTTTGAACCGTAGTCGTGCACAGCATAGAATGCCAAGTGATTACTAATTATAGTTTGTTCAACAACTGATAAACACACTTGGTAGCTAATTTTCTCGAAAAATGTCTGTTAAATCACAATTTGTGTGTGTGTGTGCATGCAGCCTTAGAATTTCTATAGAGCCCAAAAATAAAAAATAAAATTTATTTTTTCGTCAATTGATGCTCAAAGATGCTGAATATCAATCAGTCAATTCCTTTGATCTTTTTGAACCACTGTAAACAAGTAGAGTGAACTTTTAGATTTTACAGTCAAGATCTGAATTTCCGATTTGGTGTGTGTGTGTGTTTTGTTCAGAGGCTTGTCTTTATAATACACATACACTGATAGGTTAAGTAAATTTATTTCTTGTCATTTATTTTCAAATGAGCTGAGTTGAGCTCAGTAAAGAAAGACATCACAGCCCTCGGGGTACTTACATATGCGCTCCGTCCCAGTCTTTAGCAGCCAGCGCAGAGTTGCAATACTAATGGTACCGGACGCAGTCTGGTTATACGTCCATCTTGCCTTTCCTCTGAGTGCAGTGTACCGGTCAGGCCCTCTGGTCACACCCAGGTGTATCATTCTCTCCAGACCATGATAATATACTCTCTCTCTCTACTGACTTCGTATCTTGTTCCCAAAGGGCCTTGACAACATCTGTCTTGTCATGCATCAATTCATCACCCAGTGATGCAGATACAGCCACTATGTCTGCCTTGTTGAACTGTAAATATGTCCCCAATATGCAGCTGTTATTATTCTAATTCGGTCACTATTAGACCCCAGGGTATATCTTACCTGCACAGGTATGGCTGACACATTTGGATATCGAAATGTGTGTGTTTTTTTTTTTTTTGGCAATTGTTGATGTACCTGACCGTTTGATAATATTCAACCACTCATCAAAAAAATGGTTTTAATCATTCCCAATCTGACTAACCCAAAAGGTTGAAACTTGTTTACTGGCTGAACAAATTGTAATCCATCTAGGTGTCACTATTCGTTTTCCTCTCAGAGCACATGTTCAACACATTTTTTTTTCCGAAATAAATGTATCTTGTTGAAAGGGACACACGTGTTTGAACTTTAACATCACACTTTTTAAATTTACTGTTCTTTTCGGTTTTTTTTTTTTTTTAACTTTAGCCCAAACTAGATCTATCAGGCTGAGGTGTGAATGATATGCAGGGAGTCGCAGAGAAACGTGGCTGTATTCACTAATGATTTTGTCACTGTGATACACCTTTGTCTTATTTCTTTTCCTCAGAAGCCGCAACAACTCTGCCTTCAAATATGTGTCGACAAGGTTGACTTTCTCCTTAGCAAGCCATGTCTTAATTTGATCTTTTGTATTTGATGTCGTTAATACTTTGTCTTTCTCTGATACAGCATTATGATAAGCGGCATTATCCATTACTATGCATGATGGTCTGTCAAGAATTAGAAGCAGATCATTATCCATCCAATGACTGAAAATGTGTCTATTTATAGTGTGGTAGTCCCTACCATCCGTACCTTTTTTAAAACTGGAAAAAAAGTCCAGTATCATAGATAAGAACTTTTTCACTGCTTCCTACATAATTGAGTTTTATGCCTTGGCTTTTGCTGCTTGAAATGTTTCTTTCCCGTTCACCGTGTATTAACTGCCATTGTTTAGCATGGATATGGTAATCATTAACCCATAATTCATGATGCAGTATCATAGTCTTGCTTCCGTCGCTCGCGGATCGTCCTTAGGTATTTGGTTCGATTAGCAATTCAATGTGGCCTTTCACAAATAATATTCCTTCCACCTACAGTTTTTTCTTAAAGTGAACCTGGTAGGTGTTGCAATTTTCCATAGACTATTTTTTTGAAATGTCAATACTCAATTGTGATTTTAATGTTAATTTCAGTTTTTGGAGAGTAACACGTTGAATTTGTCTCTAACATTCGTAAGATCTCACGTCTAATGACATCTACATTTAAATGGTCAACTTTACTTCTCCTTCCTTGCTTGACACAAGAGTGTACTATGTGTCCGGTTTAATACAACGGTTAAATTATGCTCTATCCAGACCAAGAGCCAATCATATTCATTTCTCTGGGTCATGAATATCACAATATTAATGAACCATCTTAGATTCCCCGAGGAAGTCCTGGTACAGTAAAAACGGTAACCTTCTGCATAATTATAAATTTGCATCTCAAATTCATTTTTAGTCATTGCGATATAACAGGCAGTTTTTTTTTGAGATAATGGCTTGCATGTGTGTTTATCTATTTATTGTTATTTTTTTAAAGATTTTTTTTTTTGGTACTTGCGTTTACATTAGGTACTCTCGAGTCATAAAAATGAAAGAAAAAAACCCAGATCTGAAAGTACTTCTGGCCATAGGAGGTTGGAACATGGCATCTGCTCCGTTCATTCCTCTTGGACAAACTAAATACAGCCGGGAAACTTTTGCAAAGAATGCAGTTGCTTTCCTTCGAAAGAGGAACTTCGATGGCTTCGACATGGACTGGGAATATCCTGGTTCTGTTGAGAGAGGCAGCAGTGCTGCCGATAAGCCTAAATTTCAACTATTATTGGAGGTGAGATGTTGCATCTTTGATTCACATTCAAATCATCTTTATGTATAGACACATTCAGGTAAGGAGGCTGTAATTCGCTTCGGACATGAACTCATGTTAAAACAATACTATAATTTTTTTTTCCTATTTCTTTCCGTGCATTTACCTTTATAAGGACATCTCGCAGGTCGCATTGTGGTTTACAACAAGACTGCTATGTTGGCCCCTTTTGGCAAAACACATACGATGTCAGCAAACTACAGATGCATTACCTTGTAAGACTTGCTTGTTAGTGGGGCCAGGATGGCTCCAATTTTATGTTGACCAAAGGCGCTTTATCTGTACATGTCTATTAGCAAGCAGAATGATACTTAATCACCCCGTCTACATACCGATAAGGCAAATGAGGTAGGTGCTAACAAACATGCTTCGTGCAGACTGAAATGTTTCGCTACGGAGGCCACTGGTGGATAACATGTCTGGATCTTTTCTTCTGGATAATGCCAGTGTCCAGAAAAATTAACAGGCGGACATATTGCATAGCTCTGTACAACTTGGTGAAATACCGATGCATGATAATGCAGACGTTGTTAAGGAATTATGGGAGCATGTGTACAATTCAGAGGAGCAAACTGATCATCACAGTGTGGTGAGAGTGATACAGCGAGAAATGACCAGGGGATCTGGCCGTTACTTGACGCTCAGAGGAGAGACATGTAATCAGATACTGATATTGGAACCGGTTGGTGAAGCTGGGTACGATGCGCTTATGGAAATTCCCCAAGTGCAGTGATATCGGTTCTTAAATCAACTCAACTCTGTTCAACCAGAAAGGTAATGAGTGCGATTGTCAAAAGAGCTAAGAAATACGACCATAGCTGTGACGAAAAAAAATTGCAGTGTCTAAATGTTTTTAATGGGGCTAAAAGAACGCAGTGTATAACACAGAAAAAAACAACAAAAAACTCTTGGTTTAAGCAGTTTGGCAGCATATCGCCTTGTCCTTATTTCAACAAGGAAACAGAGTGCAGACATTTTTGTTAGAAAAACTGCATACAGCAGACAAATGCTGGATTTTTTTTTTTTTGGGGGGGGGGGGAGATCGGGGGGGGGGGGGGGGGGGGGGGTAGCGGACTGTAAACTGTATGCAACTAAGTAAATAATTAATTACAGTTTTACTTCTGCTGCGACAGAATATGTGTATTATCCTTTTTTAAAGGGCTGATGTATTATAGAGTGGTGTGAGATTAGTTGGCGTAATTAAAAACTGTAGGGGCCGCAGAGCTTATATAGCCTAGGGCCTCGTCTAATCTAAATCCGGCCCTGTCACTGGATAAAAGCCAATCAGCCCTCAGTGGGTGATGCGGTAACAATCAAGTCGGTTATCACTCCGCTTTCTTTGGCATGAGCTGCGAAATAAAAATACAATGTGAACTAACAGCGCGAAACGAGAAGCTTTTATTTTGGTTTATAAAATAACGGGCGGCCACTTCAAAAAGCTGAGCCGGAAATTAACACCTAAGACAGTTTCTGCCCTGAGCTCAAAGTTACTTGCAAAATTTAATAAATTAACGACATATCTGGACTGAATCTACTCCGGCTGCCAATCTAGACTATACATCCATAGTTAGCGATTTTGGTAAAGTTAAAATTAGAAGAGTAAAAACTGTATTAGACTGTTGTAGTTTTTCGTTGATTTCATTATTTTAATGAATTTATATTTTCAAAATACAAATTGTTTTATTATATTGTTGCAATTTTTTTCATATATAAAAAAGGAAGATTTAAAAAAAAAATATTTAAGGGGCGGCATTTCGAAGAGTTTTATCCTACTGAGAAAATAAACAACACAGTCCTGCAAGTTACATTAGTTAGGCCATTTCACGTGAATGTCTAAATTTGGAACATCTACTATGCACTGCAATCACACAATAGCTGTGTTTATTGTTTCAGGCAATAAGACAGGAGTTCGATGATGAGGCTGAACATTCAGGAAGACCCCGTCTTCTCTTAACAGCTGCCGTAGCTGCTGGCAAAATAAATATTGACAATGCATATTATGTTGACAAACTGTCAAGGTAAGAATAACTCTGTGTTAGTTCACATGGCAATGAAAACTTGTTAAGGATGGAACGATAGTAACAACAATAATGTTATTTCAGACTTACTTTAACACGACTGTCTTATATTCTGCTCTTCTAATCACAAATCGTTACAATATTTTTTTTTTTAATCCATACGCCTTTTGACACTTTGATAATCAACAACAACAGAATAAATGTAACAGCTTGAAACCAAATTAAGTATTTTTTATCCACTTACAATTGACTAGCAGGCAGTCGATCAGTAATCGATGTTTCAACCTTACTGCACATATGTCAGGCATTGGTTCCAGTGCCAGTGAAATGCACAATGTCCTTCACTGTCCAATCTGAAAACTAGTGAATTAAAAAAAATTTTTTTTTAATATTTACAAATGAATACCTGTTAAAATGCGTACGGAGGCCAAAAATGGACTAACATAATTTTAATTTGTGTTTGATAAAATCTGCAAGATGGAAATTAACACACACATGGCACGCAAAAGATAACTGACAGCCTTGCTCCAACCACTCAGCTCTGTAGCTTTAGCAGCAGAACCATGGACTTCGACCCGTGTGTTGAATTTGCTTATATGCCCTCAGGGTCCACTGAAAGAGAGAAAGAATAATGGACACAACGCGATAGATACTAACGGTAACGAACCTGCTAGCCCCCGGGCTGTGATTATTGCCCATAGGTCGGGTTGGCAATGTACATGTGGAAAGAGCTTCACGGGGTTGCTTGGTCTGAGAACTCGTGCTGAAAGAATGAAATGCGAAGGTGCGCCACGGAGTGAGCGTTGTCGCATAACTACTACTCCCGTTGTAGTTACTGAGTCGTCAGGGAACGACAGGCAGGGTGAAGCACACTCGCCCGGAGAGGCGCATAACGTCGACTACGGAAGCGCCCGTCTGATTATTCCTGAAGAAGTGCGTTCGAAAATTAGGTTTCCACCTGCAAGCAATAATGTGACTTGGTGCCAGCGGTACACTGTGTGAGAAAATAAATCATGAAATTAAGAACAAGTCGCTTTTTGACAAGCTAACACAGTTTGGTAATATAATATACGAGCACCGTTCCCGAGAGTTCGGGACATTCGAGAAGACGCATCCGGGCGTCACGCAAAATAAAAGCAGGAGGCAAAGGGACATTGAGAAGTGCAGAGCATACAAAAACGCACGCAGAAAACGGTTCAAAGCCGCTACAGGTAGTGGAGCCGTTGTACTAGGTCTGGTTGCACCTGAGAGCCAGACACAGTGCTCTCTGTCGCGCTAAGCGTTTCTGTAAGAAGAGAAAAAGAAACAAAAGGGGACGAAGGAAATTCTTTAGAGACCCATTCCAGTTTGCCAGAGGTCTGTTCAAGCAACTGAAGTCTGGGTCTCTGGTGGTCGGTAAAGAGGAACTTGAATTACATCTACGCAAGATGTACTCAGATTGGCAAAGGAATGAACCTCTCGAATGATAACCCAGAGATCACTAGCGGCCTGAAGCGACCAGGGTTGCCAAGGGTACTATTGTTCTAAGGTCGAAGAAGTTGTGAAAAGAGCTAGCGGTAAGTCCGCCCTAGGGTCGAATGGTGTTCCGTACGTCGTGTACAAGCGCTGTCCCAAAATTCTTAGAATACTTCACCGCTTGCTGAGATTAGCGTTAAGCCCGAATAACATATGCTTCGAGTTGCAAAGGGCCAACCGGGTCTACATTCCCAAGGAGCGGGACATCCCAAGTCTGTCCCAATTCAAATCTATTTCGCTGCTGAATGTTGAGGGGAAAATATACTTCTCAGTTATTGCTCGCAGGCTGACACAGCATCCGATGGCGAACAAACACATCGATACGACTGTTTAGTAAGGTGGAATCCCTGGCGTACCTGGGTGCCTTGAACACGCGACCATGATCTGGGAGTCTATTCATAGTATCAGAGCAGAGAGAACGTCTTTGCACGTGATATTTTTGGACCTCGCCAACGCCTATGGGGGGGGGGGGGTCCCCATAAACTATTATGGCATACTCATTACAAGTTCCACGTACCGACAAAGATCAGTGAAATGATCGAGCAATATTTCTAAAAGTTCGCTCTACGCTTCTCTACCCCAACGTTCACTAAGAGATGGACTGGGCTCCAGGTTGTGATTGCAATGGGATGTACGATCTCGCCAATACTGTTCGTTATGACCATGCAGATCATGTTAGACGGAGAGGCCGGCTACGGACAAGGTCTTTAGATTGGGGACCACTGGATTCCGTCACTACGTGCATTTGTGGATGACACTTCTATAATCATGGGCAGTAAGGAAGATGCCCACACGATTCTGAAAAGATTGATGGGTTACACACAAACTGGCCGTCGAGGTCTAGGACACGGGAAAGTCAGTTGGTGGTCCAAAGCAACAGCCAAAGAGCGCCGAGACATGGTAATACAGCAGATAAGGGGCACCGAAAAGAGATCCGGGTTCAAAAAGCCGCTTAACAGTCGCAGTTTTGGTCAGTGGATCTGTCTCGAAAGCGCCTTTCAATGAAACTCACATGGGGTGAGATCTGGCGAATGGTCCAATGCGGCAGAGCTTTATAGTATGATCTGCATACGATGTGTTGCCTTCAGGTGTCAACATTGTCACGTGGCAACGCGCTACCGACCCGGCATACCCACTACGCAGAGCTAAACAGACCCTCGAGCAAGTATTGTCCGTGTGCAGAAAAGCCCTAGTTCAGGGAAGATATATTTGGAGCCACAACAAGGTCCTGAAAGAGTTAGCGGCCGTTGTGGAAAAAGCTAGGAGGAGAGCGAATGTCAGGGCCAATCCCATCGTTGTCACCGTGTGCTTTCTCAAGGCTCGGCAGATTTATAAAGGTAAATTCAACAAGGTCACATACGCTCCATCAATGATTGACTGTGCGAGGGACTGACTACTGGCGGTTGACCTGCCTGGTCACGAAAAGTACTCAGAGCTAGTCCCGAAAACCAGCCTACGAGCCGACATAGTCCTACACTCTGCTTAGAAACGACAGCTCGTCCTGGTTGAGCTGACCGTGCCGTATGTGTCGCAAATGGACGAAAGTCATATGTATATGCTTGATAAATACTGTGAACCCGCGGCTGGTCTGAGGAGGGACGAAGCGTACACAGTAAGAATCTTCGCCAAGAGGTCTCATTTTCACTTCTATGTACAATGTGATAAAGCAGCTGGACTTGCGAGGAAACGAGTGAAAACGATCACTAAAATAACTGGGCGAAGCTGCTGAGAGGGCTTTGAGCTGGCTCTGGGCACAACAGAACGTCGTGGGGAACGATCCTCGGTAGGCTGGTTCGGGCATCTAGTGGAAAAGGAAGTCATATCCCTTAAGTCCATCGTGTCCGAATTGTCTGCCGGTGTCCCTCTGCCAATTGCCAACAAAGTCTAACATGTGTCCGATAAACCAACCGTAAGCTTGCCACTTGGTCGTCAGAAGCAGATTAAGCCTCAGCTTCATGAACCCAGGTGCGCCCCCCCCCCCCCCCACCCACTGAAATAGTCTAGGAGCTTGTGGGCCGAAACAATTGTGAACAAGGAACCACTTCTACTGATGATTGGTAGAGTCCTGCTTTATATGCTCCCCTGTGGAGTTTCTTCTTATTGATTGAACCATAGCTGTAAGCACACACACACAAAAACACTTGACAACCTTAAAGGAATGCCGCCTATATGCTAGTTTGACAGACAATCCCTACGCTAATTGATACAACCTATAGTTCTGTAATTGTGGAAGGTGACAGGAAATGTCACATAGAGAACAACGGACAAACGCTAAGCGAAATAAGATAATGTTTAGAAAGGTAACATGACCCTGCTCAACTTTGTAGGCGGAAAACTTAACCGGCGATAATCACTTGTACTGGTTTATTTGTGTACATCTAGTTGCTTCTTGTCGCTCGGGCATATGCACTCAGCCTTCCAAAAGAAGACCCTACATAGTCGTCTCCTACGACATGCTTGACGATAAACAATTGACAGCTAGAGAGCTACAGGTAGCGGTAGAAAAAGTGACTTGCTGGTGTGAATAGATGGGTAGATTAAAGACGCAATGATTTTATCATGTCATTATTATCATTTTCACCATCATCGCCGTCGTCTTCTAATCTGGTTGTACCCTTGAATGTTTTAGTGTCCACCAAATACCATCTAGTCTTCCGTATACTGACATTCTCAGACAACATGACTTTCTAATTCTAATATATAACTAGACGTTCAGTTGTCAATCATTAGAAATGTTCACATCTCACTTTAGAAATAGCCCACAGAAAACGTTGATTCTCTAGCACGTAAAATAATGTAAAAGACCTCTTTTGGGAGAGTGACATTTTAAGCGCACGATAATGGTTTTATGTAGTTCAGTCGGCACACGATAAGTGATGCAGTCCGATAACCTTGACTCTCCTGGTCATTTCCCCGAAAATGAGTGAATGCGTGTGCTGCGAAAGGCATTAAAAATACTATTGATAAAAACAATAATAAATATGCCTCAATTGTAACAACATATTTTTTTTTTTTTTTTTGGAATTGCCAATTGCGGGGTTTAATTAACTTCTTCTAACCTCGTGGCGCGAAGACTGATCTATTGAAGGAGTAACATTTAACTCCATTAGGACCCCACAATAACGTCTAATGACGCAGAGTGCCACTTATCGGATGAGATTTCCCCAGGTACAAAGTCCAGAAACCCCGTTCAACTGTGATACTATATTAGGGACTGCAGACGACGATACAAAATAGCCTGAAATCCAGACAGGTTGAAAAGAAAAGTTTCTCATTTCGGGACAAGTTACGAGAATATCAGTTGATCTATAGAACGTTGAACCTAGTTTTAATAGTACACTGCGCCACTAGCGTGAAAAAGATCTTTTACGAGTACTTTACATTTCTTCCTGTGTGTACCATTTTATTCTACAGTACCGTGGATTTCATTAACCTCATGACCTATGACTTACACGGTGCTTGGGAACCATTCGTCAACATTCACACTCCTTTGTACCCTGACCCGAAAGAAGTTGGACCGGCAAGATACCTCACAGTGGTGGGCCTTGTGTACTTTCTTTTTCTTTGTTTCGTAGTAACGAGCATTTACATCACGTTTTATAGTATTTGCACACAATACAAAATAAACGTTTCCTATTTACTTTTCCAGGCCCAACTACAGACTGGTTGACCTTTCATTCATGCTTGTTCAGACTGGTCTACGTCAGAGGGGTGTCACATTGTACTGTTGTCTTCGCACAGCTTAGCTTTCTGTGCTGCGTCTAATCGTTATTGCGTGAGCAGCGGCCGCTGATTTTCAGCCAGAGGGTAGTTGGGCTAGGAAACATAAACATGACCCAGACATCTTCTAGAATCAAATATGTGCGAGTTCATGTAGCGCAGACGAACTAAATATGCGGACCTTGACGCGTTCACAGTTATACTTGCTGACATTGCACTCTTTTGGCGGTCACAAGCGCCTTGGTGGCTGCTGAATTACTGCTTCTTTGGATTCAGCTAGTCCTGTCGTTAGATGACATCTTCAGATATACTAACACTGCGAAAATGCAGGTTTGTCGACGTTTGTGTCAGTAGACAGTGTAAAATGTATTCCTTGCGAGTGTCAGTATTTTTTTAGGACCGGCTACTGCGCAGCTCCCGTGATGACTGCCAAGGGCCCTTTTTAGAGCCAAAAAATGTTAACAGTTCTGAAACTACGAGTCGTAGTTTGACGCTCTCGTGTGATGTAGGCTGATACTGTGCGGTGGGAAGAAGGGGGGGGGGGGGGAGGGGTGTGTTAGCGCTAGTTCTTGATATCCGGTCGTTTGCCAATGATAACACTGGAAACAGTGACACCCCTCTAACGTAGATCAGCCTGAACAAGCAAGATTAAATGGTCAAACAGTGTGTAGTTTGGCCGGGAAAAATGAAAAGGAAAAATATACGGTAAGAATTTACAAGCGCCTTGGTGGCTGCTGAATTACTGCTTCTTTGGATTCAGCTAGTCCTGTCGTTAGATGACATCTTCAGATATACTAACACTGCGAAAATGCAGGTTTGTCGACGTTTGTGTCAGTAGACAGTGTAAAATGTATTCCTTGCGAGTGTCAGTATTTTTTTAGGACCGGCTACTGCGCAGCTCCCGTGATGACTGCCAAGGGCCCTTTTTAGAGCCAAAAAATGTTAACAGTTCTGAAACTACGAGTCGTAGTTTGACGCTCTCGTGTGATGTAGGCTGATACTGTGCGGTGGGAAGAAGGGGGGGGGGGGGGGGGGAGGGGTGTGTTAGCGCTAGTTTTTGATATCCGGTCGTTTGCCAATGATAACACTGGAAACAGTGACACTCCTCTAACGTAGATCAGCCTGAACAAGCAAGATTAAATGGTCAAACAGTGTGTAGTTTGGCCGGGAAAAATGAAAAGGAAAAATATACGGTAAGAATTTACAGAGTATTTACAAAGGCAGACAGAGGTGAGAAAATATTATAGACATGTGAGAAGAGATATTTCTAAGCAATCGTCAAATTGATGATGATAATAATAATATTAATTTTTATTTATTACTTAAACGTGAAATAGGCTCCTCTTTCCTCTTAAAAATGTGACAAGGGACTAAGCTTCCGTGGGGGGGGGGGGGGGGGTGGAGAGGGCGCAGGGCAGCTACACTGATATGTGTATAATGCTACTTACTTATAAACTAAAGGTAAAGGTAATGTCAGGAGATGTGAACCAGCGTCATTGCACAGGGTAACATAAGTAATCTTTCACCAGTACGGACAGATGATAAGAACTGTCCGCCTGTGTCGCCGTTCGCACGTAACTCTGTAGCTACAGCGACGTTACTCCATTTACCCCAAAGTGTCAACTCTGGTACCCATTTCCTAGAGGACTGGTGAACCCCGGGAGCCGGCCGGTTTCGAACAACGACCGAGGCTGCAGCGAGTCGCAGCTGGATTTGTAAGAGAGCCTCTTATCGACTGCGCTAACGCGGCCCCTATAAACTGTTAGTTGCGTATCCTTAACACAACGTTGCAGAAGCAACCAAAGAATGTTTTTGACTGTTGTGGATTTTCAAGACAAATTTTACATAATAATAATTTATTACCATTGCACACTGAACTGTTAGTTCTCTGTACTAAAAAGTAAAACACCCTTTTTCACGCCGTTTAAACGCATAGTGCATATAAGACCTATATTTTTATAGACCAAACGGCACAAGAAAGGTGATGTGGTCAGCATCACGACGGCCGCCTTTACTTCCCGGGACTGCACCGGGTACCCACTCAAGGCTGGGTCGACATGTGAGTCAAGGTCATTTTTGAAAAATGTCCGGCTCCACCAGGGAGCGAACCCATGACCCTTCGAGCGTATAGCCGCTACGCCACGACGACTTCCTCAGTTCTCGGTGGCTCTCGGTATTTCTGTCGAAGCTAACGCAAGACAAAACATTGAAATGAAAACTTCTATACATAGAAGTTAGGGGAGTGGCAGCAGACCTGGACATAAAATAAAAAAATAAAACCAGCAATAAAATGCGGCGTATTGATTAGATCGCCGGTGAAACATATATGTTGAAAATGTGAGAAATGCAATTAGTGACTAGTACTTCGAACAACTACTATCGGAGACAAACCCATCCCATCCCAGAACTCACATATGCAGACAATGTACACAGCTCTGCTTTTCAACAGTACACACTGCTTAGAAGAATAAATTCTGACAAAAAAAAGCGCAGTAAAGAATTTTTGTTTGTTTCTGAATTAGTATACAATAGGCCGGTAGCCTTTAGGAAACTATTGTTTTGTTCGAATCTCCATGTGTATTATACACATTTCTCTTCACTGAGGCTGTAACAGGCCAGACTCAGACTCTATTCGTAGCACACAGTTGACAGCACTGGGGCACAAGCTGAATATTTTTTGGCGTCAAATTTTACAGGCATGCCTCATTGTTTTCTACACCGAAAAATGGAAACATAGCGTGCGACATTGAATATGTTTTCCTTTTTATGACGATCACTAGCAATAGAGGAATAGGCCATGATTCTTCTAACATAGGGTGTTGATAAAGTTTCACTATACTCTGTATGAAAAACAAGTTTGAAAAACCAACATACATGACTTTATATAAAATAAATGTGCTTAAAAGTTATTTAATTAGTTACAGGAGTTCCTGGAAATAATAGAGCTGATAAACTAGCCAAGGAAGGTGCAAATGAAGAACAACCTGACGTACCAGTCTCTTATCAACAAAAGAAGAGAATAATCAAATCAATCAGAAAGTTACCAAAACCGGCACAAGACGATTACCATTGTATGGACAGGCCAGAGCAAGTTATTATTCTACGCCTTAGAACAGGCGCAGTCGACTTCGCAGACACATGTACACACAATTTAAAATCGACGAAACAGCCATGCGCACATGTGGACTGGCACCTGAGACAACAGATTATGTCCTCCAAGACTGTCCCAAATACAACATATCAGGGCAAAACTTTTGGCCAGGAGAAACATCGGTGCATATCAAACTTTACGGGTCGCCGAGTGTATGACAAAAGACAGTAAATTTCATACTAGAGGCAACATTGCAGATATAGATAAGCTATTTCAAGCGAATAAAAAAAGAACAAGTATTAGTAACAATAGTCACTGCTATGGTTTAACGCTGTTTTGGGGTAGCTCAAAGTACCAATAACATATTCATTATAACATGTCTTGGAAATGTCCACCACTGGGTTCAAGACATGACTCTACATGTCTCATCATTCTGTCAAAAAGGCCCTGCAACATGTCGGTTGTTATTTATTGAATCGTAATTCTAGGCAATTTTTTTTTTCAGTAGCAGCTGTTTACTACTTCTTTTCTTGAATTTGTTCTGCGTACAATATGTAATGAGACTTTGCAAACACCCATTAGAATGTAAATGTCACCGGCATAAATATACGTGGCAGATAGTTTCTTGACACACTTACCTGTCTGAAAAGCTAGGTTTTTTTTGGCGGGGGGGGGGGGGGGGGGGGGGGGGGGGGGTCGGGGGGGGGGGGGTCGGGGGGGGGGGGGGGGACATTTCCTTGTATTTTTGACTGCACCACTGGTATTAGTTGGCGAACCTAGTTATGAGCGTTCTATTCTGATCTTATCTGACCTCTCTGATCTTATTTATACAAATACGAATCTCCATATGTATGTTGATTACTAACGCTTCTATTGATTACTCCCATGATTAACACTATCCATACAGGGAATTTACAGTGTTGGGTCAATCATTTATTTATTCGTCTCCTGTTCTGTCCCCAACCAATACTTTAAAATCAGCATCGTAACATTGCCACATGAACAGCTGTTCGTCGTTTGGTCACCTTGAAAATTCCTTTCAAATTTTGACGGTGAGATAAAAGATTTTTTTTCATATCTGAGACACATTAATTCAACAACCATTTTCATCCAGGATTCACACGGCCTGCCTCTCTTCCTCATTCCGATTAATGAGCGTTGTAATTTAGTTTTGGAGAGGCCGGTAGATCTTATTAAACGTTCCTACCATTTTATATTCTGTTTACTGTTACTGTTACTAACAAACTTTCAGCACGGTCAAGGCATTCAGTGATTTCCTGAACGTATTAATCCAATAATTTTAGGTCAGTGTGTGAGCCTTATGACTATTTTTTTTTCAACAGGACTGGGCTGCCAAGTACTGGGTTTCGCTGGGTGCTCCAAAAGAAAAACTCAACATTGGTTTAGCTTCCTATGGACGCTCTTTTAAATTAGCTAATCCTGATGAACACACGATATTATCCAAAGCTACTGGAGCAGGAACTGCTCAAACATTTACTCAACAAGAGGGCATGATGGCTTATTTTGAAGTAAGTTGAATGGTTAGTTCCTGAATTATGTGGTGAGTGTGTGATCTATCTTATCCCAATATGGGAGTCTGGTGCGCGGTTGAAGTCATATAAACCATTCTTTTCTCTAACAACAACAACAACAACAACAACAACAACAACAAAAGAAATTATAAAAACAAGAAGCGGAGATTAAATTTAAGAATAAACTTTATATGTCGCCACAGTACTTTCCGAGCAAGTGAATAAATAGTGAAATGCCTATAAATCATTACGGTATGGGGGGAAATGGTAAAGCAGGGAGAGACCTGGGGATCTGGGTGACACTCTGTACTCAGTGGAAAGTAGAGTAAGTAAAGTAAAGATCCCCTTTCACCCCTTTAGGCGCATCAGGTGAATGTCAGTGAACAAATTAAAAAGAATTTGGAAGCAATAGAGATAGGGTTTTTGTATGGGAAGAGCGCCCATATTTTTACAGGCCATCGGCACTAGGTGGGTAATGTGGTTAGTATTACGCCGGGCGCCTTTTCTTCGCCAGGACAGCCATCCTGGTACCCATTTTAGGCTAGGTCGACCTGCGAAACCCCATACTATGATAAAAATCCATTCTTCCAGCTGTGGGTTTCGATCGCGGTACGTTGGAATTACCAGTCAGCCTCTCAACGCCTAAGCCACAGACGCCGCACTCGGAAAAGCAAGGCGAAAATATCATCAGACAACTTCCTGATGCCATCCGCATTGGACATCTTCGCTGGCGGACGAACATGGGACACAACGGCTTATGAGGTTGTCCCGAATGTGATGACATCAGTATATGAATCAACTCAATTTAGTATCAAATGACTGGGTGATGGAAAAATATGTTATATTGGAAACAAAGACATTCACTGAGTAGAAAATACACTGTTGGAATATCTTGATTTTGATAATGATATGGTTTTGTTTGGTATACACAGCAATGAATTTAGCAAATATAGATTCAGAAGATGGACTGCAAAAAAATTATGAAAAGACTAATATTCTGAAGACACCGATAACAGATTAAACAGATGCGACACTAGGGACACAAAGAAATAAAGCAACAGATCAATTTACTTTTACAGTCAACACAACGAAGTCTTCAGAGAGTTGGCCGACAGTGTGGAGAAAGTTAGGATAAAGGCCAACGCAAGGGTCAGCCCAACCCCCCCCCCCCCCCACACCTCTCCCATGCGCTTTCCCATGGTTGGGCAATTATCTAACGGTAAATTCAACAACGTTGCATGCCTTCAATCTATCCTCTACTGTGCCTAGGATTGGCAGCTGGGGAAAGACCGAAACGGCTCTGAAAAGTACCCCGAACAAATCTGGAAGACTGGGCTGAGGCCAGGCATGGTTTTGCACCCGGTAGCAGAGTGTTATCTCATGCTGATAGATCTCATTGTCGCGCGAGTTACGGTTGAAGTTCAACACCTGTACAAGCTCGAGAAATACAGTGATCTGGTAGTATAGTCTGATAAGTATTCAGTAAATGAGCACTGGCGAAACTAGCTGAATCTGCAGAAAGCTTCGGGCTGGCTTTAAACACAGCGAGACGACTGGGGGGGGGGGGAGGGGGGGGGGGGGGAGGGGGGGGGGGGGGGGTGGGGGGGGACTTTCGTTAGACCGGTCAGAATCAATAGCGAAAAATATCTCGTATGTCTCTGTAAGCCAAGTTTGTCTAATTAACCTCTTCCCAAGCACATCCTGCTAAGTCTGTCCGATCAACGTCTGCCCGATAAGCCAACCATCACATTTTAACTCTAGCTCATGCAGGTAGGCGGTTTGTTTGTTTGTTTTAGTATCCAGAAGCCATGAGTTGTTAACCCTAGGCTCGGTATAACGGATATCGCAACCTTTCGGCCTTGATTAAATACCGTAAAATCTGGGAGAAATGTAGCTTTTCTGCCTAACTCCGGGAGTGAACCCGGACCACAAAGAGTTTGTCACCCGGTCACCACGCAATCCGATTTAGCCAACTACGCTAGAGAGCTGGGCTGGTACCCGTTTAAAGTTAGGTCTATCTGGCATCCACGGTCATGCTAGATAAATCCGGCTCTATACGCATTTTACCTCATGATTCAAAGATCCGCAGGCGAGCGTCCAACTCAGTGGCTCTCAACCTTCCTGATGCATAACCCCTTAAATACAGTTTCTCATGTTGTAGCGACCTCTAACTATACAATAATTTTCTTTGCTACCTCATAGCTTCAAGTGATATGCGTTTTCTGATATTTTTGGGCAACCCTTGTTAAAGGATCTCACGACCCACAAAAGGGTGGTGACCCAGAGGTTGAGAACCACTGGTCTAACAGGTCTTTGTTAGTTAACTGCGTATCGTTTTCAGGACGTTGCAAAACCAACCCTAGCAATTTTAGGCTGTTGTGGATTTCCTAGGCAGATTTACATTCAGTAGCTCGCCATTGCCGCTGAACGGTCGACTCTCGATACTGCTGTCACAACTAACGCAAGACGGTCTGTTATCAAATCGCCTGCAGCTGGGATCGAACCCGGCACCATGGCACCACGAAGCGCGTTCTTCTTCTTCTTCTTCTTCTTCTTCTTCTTCTTCTTCTTCTTCTTCTTCTTCTTCTTCTTCTTCTTCTTCACTTCCTCTTTTACCGCTGTGGGTGTCGAGGGAGATAAAAGGTTCTGTTTCTAGCTCTTCTGGCTGCCTCGACCATAGGCACATCGTGCTGTTGTAGAGTTTCTCTGATGTTATCCTTCCATCTTGTTCTTGGTCTACCTAGTGCTCTACGTCCTTCTTCGCTTTCCATGTATGCTTTGTATGGAATGGTGTCACAAGGCATTCTCTCTAAGTGGGCAAACCATTTCACTTGCTGTCTTTGTATGTAATCCAGAATTGGTTCTGTGCCGACTTGTTCTCTTATGATCTCATTCCTGATCTTATCTCTTATGGTCACTCCTACAGCCCTTCTCAGACATCTCATTTCCGTGGTTACTAATTCTCTTTATGGTTTGTTGTGAGTGACCATGTCTGGCACTGGTAGCACAGAGTTGGAATAAATATGCTTTGAATAAGATGTCTCTTTGTGCTGATTGGGATTGTCTTATGCCTTAAGAGGGGGGCTGGCTGTCCCAATATTTTGTTTGCTTTACTGCATCTAATGTCAATTTCTTTATCCAATTTCCCATCTTCGGTAAATGTAGTTCCCAGATATTTAAACTCAGATGCCTGTTTAATGCCTTTGTATTCTATTGCTATGTTTAGATCTGTCTTCTTTATTCCTATTGACATTACTTCTGTCTTTTCAGTGTTGATTCTCATATTCGTTCGCCACGCCTAAGTCCCAAACGCCGACAGTACCCTCACTAATTTCAAAAAAATTCATGGCAAAAGCACATGCCACAAATAACGACTTTCAATCAATCATTCTACAGATATGCAACTTTATCAACGAAAAGGGTGCTACATCTGTAGACTTACCTATTCAGATAGGTCGATATGCGTACAAGGGAAATTTGTGGGTCGGCTACGATGACGAAGAAACAATAGCTCAAAAGGTAAGTTATGTGTTAGAGTGTAAGTTAATGTCGACAGGGTCGTTAGGCCGGGTACCTGCTTGTGTGTTCCAGGGTCATGTATGCTCATAACCAATATGTCGTTAAAGACCACTATGTAGCGGCCGTTTCTGTGAAGTCGGAGTACATCTGTCTAAGAAGCTAGGAACCAACAGCCTGCATACACATCATCAATTTCTGTAAAACAAACGTGCACGCAAACAAGAAGTTCTGGAACAAAAAGTCCAGAGGTGGACGAGCAGCCATAACATTCCGTAATTTACAGTCTGTGATTGGAAAGAAGAAGAAACAGACTGCGCGGAGTTGTATCCAGTGTGAATGGGTCTCTATTTGCAAAACGGATCCAGCAACCTTCCCCAAAGAAACATTTGCACTTATTAGCTCTACGACGCTTGGACGAAGCAACCCCGTGACCTTGATTCGCAAGGCAAACAGCTTCAGCAGTTCGCCACTGGGGGGCTATGTGCCTCTAACATATAATAGGTAAGTAATTTTGTTTAGATAAAGCAATATAGTATGACATTAACTTATTGATACCTTTGGTCAGGATACGGGACCTAATTAATCCACTGTTATATGGATAGATGACGGGGTCAGCATGTACTTTCCCTCCTGTTCTTGTGATCTCACCCTTAAATTACACAGACAGATGAATCATTTAATAAACTTTAACTTAAGTGTGGAATTTTGGTGTCGACTAACTGACGAGTGAGTGACTGGTGGGGCGGATAGGATAGCTGGGCCACGACCGGCTCCAGCTGACGGGGGTGCCGCTGACGTCACCAGGTCGGGCTAATGATGCGTAACGCAGTGGTTCTTAAACTGGGTGCCGAGGCACCCTGGGGTACCGTGAGCAGTAATCAAGAAAAGTCGGCTATAAATTGTGAAATTATTAAAGAAGACATGTAGATACTAGAATGTTGAGATTTAAGTTGTCTTTCCTCGCCACTGTCGAAAATAGTGTGTTTCTTGTTTAAGAACTGCTGCGTTGACGCATCGTTAGCCCGACCCGGTGACGTCACCAGCACTATCCGTCAACTAGAGCCGGTCGTGGCTGGGCTCACAAGCTGGAGACTGTATTTTGAATCTTGGTAAGGCCGTTGCAATTTTTTTTTTTTTTTAGGGCAAACATAAAATTCTAACCTTCACAATCCGTGGCAACAGCAACAAATCATGCGGCCTATAATTCTCAGGCTCAAAGTTCCCTCTCTTCCCACCCTGGTTGATTAATGTGGTAAATATCTTACCGGTCGTCTTCTTTTCCCAAGACTTTGCCTGGTATCTATTTAAAAGATTTGGAAGCAAGGCTCATGATTTAAAAATAAAACCTGACTAAATGCGGATACGGAATCAAGACCTTCATGTCAGCAGGTGATTGTTATACTACTGAGGCTCCCGGGAATGTTTAAACCGCTTATAAGAAATTAACATCGTGTTATTATATCATTTCAGACGTGCTATGCTAAGCAAAACGGTTATGGAGGGGTGTTCTTCTGGGCTCCAGACTTGGACGACTTCACTGGTCAGTTCTGTAACAAAGGAAACTATCCACTGCTGAAAGCTTCTAAAAACGCAATTAACTCACCATATACTTGCTCTAAGTAAGTCTTCTTTAGTGTATATATATACACACTCTCACACACACACATATATTATATTTTATATTTGTGTGTATGTGTAAAATAAACAAAAACATATTTGCACTAATTAGCTTACAATGAAAGAAGCAGAAAAACATAAATGGACACTGGAAACAGACAATTCAAAAGCCATAGGTACAATATGGGGAACTGAACTTGTTACCCCTTAAAGACGGAATCGCCTCGCTGTAGAAACAAGTGTACTTAGACGCATGCGCAGCTAGACATCCTAAAAAGGTGTCTGTTTTAGCCATGTCCATCAAACAGCGTGAATCCTAGACGGAGAGAATTGATCTCGAGCTATAAAACAAAATCTCATATTAACCAACCATAAGTGACATAGTAATTACAACTACAAATTATAAACATGATGGACCGAAATACTGCGCCTTTTCTTTACATAGCAGGTTTAAGGGAGATATTTGGTAGGCCGATTTACATCCGAACACGATACATAAGACAGACGTGGTTAGTGCCTTGTGCGAGAGCGTGTACGGTTCGAAGGAGCAGATGGATCACCATAGTCTGGTGAGATTGATGCAGTGGGGTGTGACGAGGGGTTCTGGCAGAAGTTCGAAACTCAGAGTAAAGCAAGACGGACGTTTAATAAAAATGCTACTGGCACTATTAGTATCAAAACTCTGCGCTAGCTGCTGAAGATAGGAACCCTGAGTGTCGGTTCTTGAATCAGATCAATCAACCATCTGAACGACCATAACATAGGGAAGTACACAGACGAGGAGCCCATGAACCCCAGATGCAATATATGGCAAAAGCAGTAGTAATAGTTCGTTGCAGATGTCGTCCCGAACACAAATATCACTATTTGAAGTAGCTTGAGTTTAACTTTTGTTCAGAGCGACATTAGGACCTCTTCTGATTGAGACTGAGCAGAGATGACGGCTGAACTGCCTACCAGAGTCACCAAGTCTGTATAGTCAACATGTCATAGTGTATTCCCAGGGTCGTGCTATCTACGAACTGCTTATTACTCGGGCATACAGTAAGATCTGCTGAAAATGATCTCCCATTAAGGCTGCGACATTTGCGAGGGAATTGAAAGAGAATCGATAATTCTCACGGGGAACACTCTCAGTCGCAGAATTGGATGCTTGCTACACATACTGTGCATGTAGATGGTAGGGCTGTCTGCAAAGTCAGCACAAACTACATGGCATTGTTGTTTGTGTAAAAAAAAGGTTGTGAGAACAATCCCCACCATTACGGTGCGTTTTGTATGTTTCTACATAATTTTTTTTACTCAAAGCAACATATAATTCATAATGAATAAGTGCATTTTATCATATGCCTGATCTGTCATTAGATTGCACAGGTTCCTTTGATGGGTTTCTAACAATTTATATATGCATAAGTGTGTGCTTGTGTGTATGTTTGTAGCAAATATATATATATATATATATATATATATATATATATATATATATATATATATATATATATATATATATATATAAGAGTTTGTGTGTATGTGTCTCTTTGCAACACTGGTAATGGCACACAGCATATGTTTTCCGTTTTGAAAGTATTATCAGTATTTTGTTTTAACTGAAGTTATTTTTCTACATTAACATCCAATGTTAAATATTTTGAAATCAAAGTGTTATGAGAATAATATAAACTTGTGAGATTAGCTCAATTCTTATTTTACTATACAGGACACTGTCTGGTGACATTGGCACCGATCTTCCGCCTGAGCCGTGGTATAATGCCGTGCTATAATGCGAATGCAGGTATTATGTGTTGTAAATCTGTAGATTACGCTTTTAATCTTTAGTTAGCAGGTTCTTTACAGAACATAGCTTCCCTACTCGAACCAGTTCTCCAGCCCTTCAGTACATCTTCAGTGTCTCGCATCCACATTCGCGGATCGTCTGCCCCTGCCTCTTTTTCCGGAAACTACTCTCAGTTTTACTAGATGATGCTATTGCTACTGTCTGATCTTAGATCTTCATGTAGTTAGGTCCTGAATGTGCCAATTTTTTCCCACATTTTTACGACTACAGTCCACTAAAACAGGGAAAATTGTTTTATGGCACACCTGACAGAAGGGGAAATTGTTTTAAGGCACACCAGACAGAAAAAAAAATGAAACAAAACAAAGATGAGTTTCTTTCCTTCTTTTCTTGCTTTTCTTTTTTTTTTTTTTTTTTTCAAATTGTTAATATCCACCCCAGACGGGACTACTGGTTTAGTAATAGTTAGTGTTTTATACGACTGATCAGGTTATGTGATTCTCATCTGACTGTTTCTCATTATTGAGGTGGTAATCCTTTAGGCTGCAATTCTGAAAGAGAAAGATACCTATCCTAAACCGTTGCATGATTAGGCAGAACATTTTAACGGCCCGACGTGAATTTTTTCGCGGCTTACCAGTGGACCACGGTCCACGGGTTGAAGAACACTGATGTGGAACATGGAAGTCTTCAGCCTGAAGATTAAGGGTCGTTTGGCTTGCGCGGTCGGCATCGAACTGTGCAGATGTGTGTTTGTGTGTGTGGTGTGTATGTGTGTCTCACTGACACAAAAGCCTTCATCATTTTACCGATGATCGAAACCGGGTCTCTCGATACAAAGCTCACAGCTTCAGAAGTTCGGACAGCCACTGCTGGATCAACAGATTGTCCGTCTTTGTTTAGCCTTTTGCCTCCATTTTTGAAAATTCATTTTTGTTTTTTAACTAAAATGAAGCTGTGTCTTAATAAAACCTTTACTATCTAAGAGAATAATCAGAAGGAGTTAATGGATAAACTAAATTACTATAATTAAAAAAAATGCTCCTCCACACTCCCACCCACCCACTCCCTTTCCCTCTCTCCCGCAACCACACCTCCACATCGCACGGGCTTAAAAATACGGTCAAAAAATGTTTAGTCTTGGAGTTAGCCTAACATATCGTCATATAGCTATGTGTCCAAACATTTCTCTGATCTCATTATTTTTTAATTCCTCCCACTTTATGTTAATTTTTGTTTTCTCAGACTGTTATTTTCAACACGATATATAAATATTTATATTGTATAACCATCTGCATTATCTGACGAATAACATGGCGCATAAACTGTTATTATTTCTAATGATCTGTAGAATAATCGAGTCCAGACGACCATGAAAAATACAACTACAGAGTTCTTGCAAGGGATGTTTTCTCCTAGTTTCTGCCACCTGCGTTCTGAGCTGCACTTGTCTTTAATTTAGCTAACTGGTGAATGAAATTGTGTAACCGTTCTTAACGATCGTTCTTAACGATTACTGTTTAGTTGTTGGCAATAAACGTCAGTATCGTATTTTTATTAGATTCCATTTTTCAATGTCAGAAAGACGTGTATATGTTGGCAAATGCGCTTTAAAATATTAACATGACATGTTTGTGGCGAAATATGGAGGCTCAGGCTTGTTAAGGCACCAGCAAATTTTAACAATAATAATTTATAAAAATAATCCCAAATAATAATAATTTATTATTAATATTATTAGTATTAATATTATCGAAAACATATATGGAAGTTGCGGAGATGTGTTTTATAGACGAATGATGGGAATACCCTGGACAGATAAAAAGAGTGATGAAGATGTCTTGAAAGAAACTGACCCACCAAGAGATCTGTCTGTCCACATCAGAAAGAAAAAAAAATTACATTCTTTGGTCATGTGATGAGAAAGAGAAAACGAAGTGACAGTAGGAAAGTTAAAGGGAAAGAGAGGCAGAAAGAGAGACCGAGAGAAAAGATGCTGGACAGTTTGACGTCATGACATGTAGGATCATCTGTATTAGAGTTGATTGAAAGTACACAACACATAACCCGTATCCTCCTAAGTAGAAAAGGAGTTTTAACATTAACAAATGCCAGTTTATATTTCTGAATAGTACCCCCACAATTTCTACAATTAATGCATTTGTTTGTAATATTTTTAGATTGAACCATATCTTAGTGTATATCAGAACTGTTAGAACCTCATGTCTAAGAACTGAAATTCTTCTGTTATTAACAAAAACCTGATACAATTTAAATGTTCTATGAGAAGTGGTGGCAGCATTTGCTTGCTGTACCATTATATTATGTCCACAAGGCAGACTATCTTTCTCATGAAACTGTTGGCAATTTGGACATGTTCCACACATTTCAAGTGTTACTAGATTTGTATCCATAGATTCACTGCCTGATTCTGACTCAGACATTTAATAGACTATTTTATATTCCTTGAAATTTTTTTTCTAAGGAGATAATCCTTATTAAATTAATTATAACATCAATGATTGAAGTATTTAATGGCCTTTTTATATTGATTTTCATAATCTGGGTTTTCGTCACACATCTTGCCATTTGGATAAGTTCTATGACAATAAACGCAATAAACTGGTTGCCATGTTCTGTTCAGTTGTCTTTTTCTAGTTGCGGTTGCACCTGGGTTGCTTTTGCCTTTACCATAATAGGCACTAGCGCCAGTTTCAATGTATTTTGAGGAGCAGGAAATGAAAATCTCAAGATGGGCTAAAAAGTAATTCTCACCTCACTTTTCCAATTCGTTCAAATAGCTTTGTTTTCTCGGTTGAATGTTGACAGTGGCTTTGGTAAGCGGTTGAATGTTGACAGTGGCTTTGGTAAACGGTTGAATGTTGACATTGGCTTTGGTGAGCGGTTGAATGTTGACAGTGGCTTTGGTAAAGACTGTAACATCTTATTTCTTTATAATAAAATCTACTAAAAGTTTGCAATTGTTTCTCTAGCTTCAGCCGAATCCATCCACTTGCCAATAATATTTTGGATTTCTGAATGATAATCTTTGAAAATCTAATCTGATTTTAGCTTCAGAAGAAGAGAGTTTTTCCAATAACCTGACGCATGCAAGTCATAGTGTCACATAATGCAATCTTTACATAGAGAAAATCACATCGCAGATGTTCAGGGACGGTTTTTAAAATTTTCAGTTTCGAATGCTAAGTGATTATGGAAGATAATTACCCACTACTGATTTTTAGAATTATCATGGAAATTCATTTGGAAAAGAAAGTTTGAAATCCCACTGCCAATGTCATCTTTCTCTGAGAAATCTCTAACGATGCTTGTATAGTTTTAAAATTTATGTTCTTCTTCTTTGATTCTCTCTTTTGAATTAATTCCATTTCTTTATTTCTTATATGAGGTTCTGTTTTTTCTTATTTCCTGTTTTAATTCTTGCAGCCACCTTCTCTCGATACTATTGCAACTCATTCTCATTTGAAATTATTTCTTGTTCAAATTTTTGTTTCCTGTAATATTCTTTCCTGTTCACGTTGTTTATTCTTAATCTATTTTTTCTTGTCTATTTAATTAGATTTCTTGTGCTTTTGCAGTTTTAATGCGTTGTTATTATTATTGCATTCTGTGTATTATGAAACTATTAGTATTCGATGATCTTAAGGTGTTGAATTCTTTTGGAACTGCAGGTTGTTTCTAATAAATGATTTGCCACGTTTGTTGATCAGTGGGCTGTGACGCAATTACCCACTTCCATAGCTTGATCAGATTTCATTCCACTCCTTAATTCCACACTCTACTGGGTGTTGTAATCGTGGCTGGAGAGGTAAATTTTGAAACCAATCCGACTGGAGGTACTGGTGTCGACAAGTTTCTTTTTTTCTTGGTGCAGACAGCCAACTGCAACTCACTATATTGTCGTCGGCATCACTTTTAGTACAGTCAACAGGGCTTCAGAATTGCCGTATAGTGATAGCCACTAGTCTTACGTTCATCTCTCAGTATAGACTTACACTTGAGTTTCTCGGCTACATTATATATCTGCTCCCTGCACGACCCACTGTATACAACAGTTCTGTTGCGTTTCTGTTGTTAGTAAGTTGACCGAAAACTTCAATCGTGGCCTTTCCTCCTATATGTGTTCATAACTTCTAAATTATTTCGTTCGGAAGGCCTCTATTTCTGCAATAACTCTGTTTACATCCAGTTTGGCTCCAGCCACTTGCAGACTTTTCACCCGTGCACTAAAAATCAACTCAACAGGTGAAAACATGACGACATTAACGTTACGATGCGTAATAAATTATTTATTGTGCATTCCCTCGCTGATTCTTTGGCCAGTACATGGCAAGGAATAAATATAGTCTAGGTGGTTATTAAATCTATCGAATATTACTTTAACTTATTAGGTATACGCGAAAGGACGCTCACAAAACAACAGCTTGAAATGACAACCTTTTTTTTTTTTTGACGAGCAAACACAAACAGTTCACTGCACCCAGCAGGTCCAACTCTGGCCAGGTTGGGTATCGGATTCTCACAATCAAATAGATGCACGCCGTCAATCAAAACCTTATTCAAAATATATTCTCCACTTCCCAAGCACACAGTTTCTAAACACAGCCTGGACTGACTCCTAGATCTTTCTATAGCAATAAATTATCTTCTCTCGTCCACATTCTGAATTGCCTGAAGCCCGTGACTTCGAACTTTCTCACTTCACCTGGGTTAAGCGCTTCGTTCATTTTAGCCAGCGTTTTCTCGTGCCACAGTCTGCCAACAGTAAATTAAATTATAAATATATTTTCATGACCTTACGTCATTCCTATTGCAACATAATTAATTTTTCGGGGAGAAAAGGACTGACTACACTGCCATATTCAGTTTTTGTTGCAGAGAGGACTTAGGCGTTGCCTACGCGCTTCGTAATGCCGTGGAACCTGGTACGATCACAGCTGTAGGCCATACGACTTGCGTTGGTTT